ATGCAGAATGACATTGGAAACCTATCTCACACCATATGTAAAAATAATCTCAAAATGGATTAAAGACTTAAATACAAGATCTGAAACTGTAAAACTCTTAGAAGAAAACGTAGGAAAAAAGCTTTTTAATACTGGTCTTGGCAACAATCTTTTGGATACTACATGAGCAACACAGGCAACACACACAAAAACAAACAAGTGGGGCTTCTTCAAACTAAAAAGTTTCTACATAGGAAAGGAGACAACACAATGAAAAGGCAATCTGTGGAATGGGAAAAATATTTGTAAATCACATGTACGATAAGGCAGCAATACCCAAAATATGTAAAAAACAAAAAAACAAAAAAAAACTCATGCAACTCAGTAGCAAATGTGTAGAGTGAAATAAGCCAGACACAGAAAGAGAATTTCTGTATGATCTCTCACATGTAGAACCTAAAATAGTCAAACTCACAGAATCATAGAGTTGAGTGGTAGTTAACAAGGGATGTGGGGAAGGGGAGATGTAGGCTTAAAAGCTTTAGTTATGTGCAATACTAAGTTCTGGAGATCTTTACCATACAGCATGGTGACTGCAGACAAACCACTGTATACAGTCATCTCTTGGTATCCACAAGATTGGTTCCAGGACCACCCCAGATACCAAAATCCATGTGCTCAAGTCCTCAGTCACGCCATGCTGCTTGCATAGGAGACGTCAGCCCTCTATGTACGAAGGGTTCACACCCTGCATTGTATTTTCTATCTGCCTTTGCTCGCAGATGCAGATATGGAGGTCTGACTGTATTTATTGAAAAACCATCTGTGTCTGAGCAGACCCACACAGTTCAAACCCACATTGTTCAAGGGTCAACTGTATGTGCTTAAAAGCTGCTAAGAGATTAGGTCCTATGTGTCCTCACCACACAGATACGAAGGCAATTATGTGAGGTGATGTACATTTTAATTAGCTTGATTATGGTGATCGTTTCACAATGTATACATATATCAAATCAGCAGGTTATATACGTATACCTGAAATACACACAATTTTTAAAAAGCTGCCCCTTGAGATGGGACACACCACAAGTGCAGGCTTGAGCTGCTGGTGAGATCAGGAATGTGCTGAAATGTCTATTGGGTATCCAAATAGAGACCCAGAGTGGAAAGTCAGACACGTGCGTCTGGAATTTAGGAGGAGGTTTGGAGAAACCCATTGGGAGGTATCAAGCACACAGGTGGCTTCATAATTAATTTCACACATCTACTTCACTGAGCTACAGGATGCCCAGGTGTCTGGTTAAACTTCTGGGTGTGTGGGTGCTCCAAAGATTAGCACTTGAACTGGTGGTCTGAGTCAAGTGGTTGGGCTTCATTCAATAATTTTAAGGACCTGAATAGAACAAAATGGCAAAGGAAGGTTGGATCAGCCCCACCCCAGCCTGCCCATGTGAGCCGGGACAGCCATCTCTCCTGCACTTGGCACTCCAAGTGCTCAGGCCTTCAGACTCCAACTGAAATCTACACTCTCAGACCTTATTGGCATTCTTGGGTTTCCAGGTTGCAGACAGATCACGGGACTTCTTGGCCTCCATAACTGCCTGAGACAGTGTCTTATAATAAATCTTTTTATGTCCCTCCTGTTGCTTCTGTTTCTCTGGAGGGTCCTGAGACTGGATGAGATCACCAGGAGAGTGCTGCCGAGAGGTGCCCAGAGGTGGGGGCTTCTGCAAAACAGAGGATCACGCAGAGGCCTGGGCCCTGTTGATGAGGAACCTGTACTGCAGGAGAAAAACCAGGAGAGGAGGGGGTCCTGCGAGCCCACAGAGGAAGAGGATGGCGTCCTTTCTAGGGCCAGAGAGCCAAATGCTGCAAACTATGTCCACAGCAAGTGTGGAAGGGTGAGCAGAGGAGCAGAGGATGGCCGCCCTTGCTTTTCGAGGCTCATCCCTGGCACAGCCTTGAAGGGAGACAACTGAAGGGAGTTAGCACTACTGAGGAGCACTGCTCCTGGAAGCTCGAAGCTGTCTCTCCTCTACCAGCTGGACCGGGTCTGCGCAGGCGGTCTCCACTCTCCCAGTATCAGTCTCTCCAGTCTCAATTCCCGCTGAGCCTTTAAGACTCCATTGGGGCACTTCCACTGGGCCAGGTGGCTGTACTGCCCCAAGACTCAGCTGAGTGCCCCTGGGTCCAGCTCCTACAGTAACTGGTGCTTCCCCTTGCTGGACTCCCCAAACCAAGCCTGTTTATACTTGACTAGACCAGGTGCCCTTTGGGTTTCTGGAAGGTTCCTTGTTTCTGCATCCTTAGCAACTAGCATGGTGCCTGGCATCTAAGAGATGCTCAGTTAAGTGTTTGTGAAACAGAAATCCTCAGCAGAAGCTCCCCTTCCCGCCGGCAGGTGGCCGAGACAGGCCCTTTGTTATATAGAAGTTTCAGTCCCTGGACTTCCTCTCCTGAAAGATCTTCCTCTCCTGGGAGATCTGGCCAAGCCCCTGCAGCATGGCCAGGATCCTCAAAGCACTGTGCCTGACACTCACCAAATATTTGTTAAATACCAAGGATCACACCATGGACTTGGGTCCAAATCCCAGTTCAGGCACTCTCAGGTAGCATCCCTTCTCTTAGATGAGAGGAAGACGACCATCCCATAAGATTCTCATCAGTCCTGGCAACACTGGGAAAGGGAGGCAGTAACTGAGCTGGGCCCATGTGAGTTACCAAAGATCGGGCTTCTCCCCAGCAGCTGATTCAGGGCACATGGCCAGGCCCACCCAGATCCATGTGAGGCCTCCCACTTGGTTTTTCTCAAGCCACCTGGAGGACAAGTCGCATCTTCCTCAGTAACAGGAACCAGGAAATGAGTGGGCCCTGGACCCAATGGAAACTCTAACACACGTGGAGGTTCACAAGTGTTTCCAGTGACTAAGGGCCCTGAAAACTTGTTCCAGAATGGCTCGGCCTGCAGAGCCACCCTGTTCTGGTCATCCCTGCCCCATGGTCCCCTTTCTCTGGGGGGGAGGGGTGTGCAAGCCTTTCCCTTACCCCCAGGGCAGGGACCAGGCATCCCCTCTCAGATTCAGCAGCAGAGACAACTCACAGACAGGTTCAGCATGTGGGACTGTTTATTAACCTTCACTTCACCCAGTTAACTTTCCTCACTTGTCAGGGATGAAGGAATTGAAGGGCAGGGGATGCTTGGGTAGAAGTCAAAAGGCACACCCTGAAAGGTGCTAGATGGGGTGAAAAGAGGTGGTCTGAAATTGGCAAGCCTCCTGTTTCAGAGGCTCAGAAAATTTGTGTCCAAGAAATATACACTCGTTCAGTCATTCCCTTCCACCTGCTGGAAGAGAATCAGGCATTATCTTGGCTCAGGCCTTGTGCTGGCTCTCACGCCAGCTGTTTCCTGGCCCTAGCTGTCGCAGCTGGTGAGATCACTAGCACTGCATGGCCCCAGCATTGTGGCCCCAACGAATAGGCAAGGCCTGGCTCTGTCCACACAGCAGAGGCAACAGTGACTGATTAGCAGGAGATCTGCGGCATACACATAATAGGAGAGGGTGCTGGTCAGCATCAGATGACTCCAAGACGTAGTGCAAGCCCACCAGGGGCTGGACTGAAGGCTGGCTGCCATGATAAGAAAACATGACTCTGCGAGCAGACTGGACTTTGGAACAAAACTCCCAATACAGCCTCCGCTCACAGTGTATTTCAGTCCCCTTGACTCTAAACAGAAGCAGAAGGAAGAGGAAGTGGTGGTCAGCCCAGCTGGAGCCTGGGGACTGTCATGACTGTCAGAATCTTTGTGTTCAGAGGGCACTGCAGCCATCTCAGACTCCAGGCCTGGGATGGAGAGGGAAACAGGATGCTGGTTCCCAGGAGGGCAGCCCCCAAGGCCCCACCCCGCCCACTGGCTCCCCAGGCCTCCTCTTCTACCGCTTCTTCTTGGTCTCCTTCTTGGGCCTCTTGTTGGCAGAAGGAACCGTAGCCTTGGGCTTCCTAGTCACCTCAGCACTTCTGGGCTCAGCTGGTTCTGCCTCCTGCACAGTGATAAAAAGGAGAGTCAGGCTTAGATGGACCAAGACCGACACCAGCAAAATGAGACTATGTCTGAAGGATCCGCACACTGAAGCATGTCACAGACACACGGGGACAGAGTCCATCAGCACTGGGGTCCAGGATCCATGCGTGCGTGGAACTGCCCCAGCGAGTGGTACGGCTCCCAGGGAGATACAGGGAGGCCTGTGTAGGCTCACAGGCCTAAGTGGAGCTCCTTCACTTTACCGCCAATGACCTTGTGGGAGATTTACCTCCCCCTTTGTGCCTCGATGTACTTACCTATGAAATGGAAACAGCAATGTACACTTAGAAGGCCGATAGGAGAAGGCAAAAATACATGGAAAGCACCAAGAAATGGCAGCTGCACCCAGTGGCTAGTTGGTCACCCTGTGCCTGGGACCGGACAAAGCCTGGGTGAGAAGCTGGCTATGGGGCAGACCCATTGCATCTTTCTCTCTCCAACTGCAATTCTCCTGTTCAACCTGCAGAACAGCAGGGCTGGGAGGTGGGTGAGCCAGTGGCAGGCAGCAGCCACCACACTGTACTCTGTGGAGCCCGGCAGAGGCGCCCCCTAGAGAACAGAGGCAGCCTCGGGGCAGAACTCCAGACTCTGCTTGCAACTGTGGCAGCCCTGATTCTTCACCTGTTTTGTACACTGTGATTTGTTTCTTGTAAGGTTTAAATGAGGCCGAGTGCAGTGGCTCACATCTATAATCCCAGCACTTTGGGAGGCCGAGGTAAGAGGACTGCCTGAGCCCATGGGTTCAAGACCAGCCTGGACAACTTGGCGAGATCTCATCTCTACAATAAATCAAAAAATTAGCCTGTAGTTCCAGCTACTTGGAAGGCCAAGGCAGAAGGATCACCTAAGCCCAGCAGGTTGAAGCTGCAGTGGCCGTGAGCAGACCACTGCACTCACTCCAGTCTGGGCGACAGAGTGAGATTCCAATTCCAAAAAAAAAAAAAAAAAAGATTTGAATGAAACAAAGTTCTGCTGCTAAGAGAAAAAGGGTTCAGAACGCTAGATGTAGTCTGGCCTCTGCTGTGATGATGATGATGATGAAGGCGAGCTCCAGGAAAGGGACACAGACTGCCCCAGGCCACCTGGGTTCAGGTCGGAGAAGAACCTGGAACTGACTGTCTGCTCCTGCCTGGTGTCCTCTTATCTTCAGACACCTCATAGTGCGCTGTGACGACTCATAGTGCACTGTGGCCAGAAAGGACATTAGAGAAGCTGGGCTGGCCCAGAGTCACGAACCACAGTCCAAGGGCTCATCCGGCCCACAAGCAGACTTCATTTGGCTTGTAGTATTTATTTTTTAAAAATTAAGCCAACTGGGAGAGTTCCCATTAAATCTGTATTCCTAGCTTCTCTTGAAAACTAAACATCCGGCCGGGTGTGGTGGCTCATGCCTGCAATCCCAGCACTTTTGGGAGGTGGAAGCGAAAGGATTGCCTGAGCTCACGGATTTGAGACTAGCCTGGACAACATGGTGAGACCTCATCTCTTCAATAAATAAAAAAATTAGCCAGGCACAGTGGCGTGTGCCTATAACTTGGAAGACTGAGGTGGAAGGATCGCCTAAGCCCAGCAGGTTGATGCTGCGGTGGCCATGAGCGTGTCACTGTACGGGCAACAGAGTGAGACTCTGACTCAAAAAGAAAAAAAAAGAAAACTAAATATCCGCAGACACTGGCTCTGATTCCCAGCAGCAACAGGCTGAGCAGTGGTTGCCCCTTTATTCAGGTGCCCACCCCATGGCCCCCACCACCCTGCTGCCTGGTCCTATGATAGGGAAATGTTTCTCAGTACCCACATTATTAGAAATGGGAAAATTAAAAGCAGACTAGGATTGCTAAGGGGAACACACTGCTGAATGAGAAGAACACCCCTCTGTGTTTGATCTGCCAATCCCTGGTTGCCAGCTGGCTTTACACTCTCATCTTCCCTGCTCACCCCTTATTGGTCCCTGACCCAAGCCTCTGCCCTAGAGTAGGGACCACACTGGGCAGGGGCAATCCCTACCTAAGATCCAGTCCAGAGGCTTGTCAGCTCTTCTTATCGGCCATCATTGTCTCCAGCCAGTCAGGCAAGATACCAGCTATCAAGGGCTTGGGGGACCAAGGCCCCAAGGAGTGATCATCTCCCCCTTGTCTGACAGGTCTCTGGTTATAGCTCTGGATTCCCTCACTCCACCAGCCAGAAGTCAACCAATCTGAAGGTCTCCCCAGGCTGATACTGTTTTTGTAAACTGGCCAAAAGAAAACAGCTTATGAGGCCTGCCCGGATTTCCAGGATGGAGCCCACCTTCTGAGCTCAAGGTAGGTACCTCATCTGGTTTCAATGGGGCCTGGTTCAGAGATCATAGGGACGGTGACACCCAGCTGCTGCCCCAGTGCTTCCCTCAATCCACAGGCCCTCTCTCTGGCATCTTGTCCATTCAGACACCTCTCCCTGATCCAGCTATCTGCCAACAACTAAGACCGGCACCTCCCAGGCACCTCAACTCTACTATCCCCGACCCAGAAGAGGCCATTCTCGGGCAGGCCTAGCCCTCCTCCTGTCAGTGGAGCAATGCACCCTCTCCCTGCTCCCCACCACCATCCAGTGGGTCCCCAAGTCCTGTGGATCTGACCCCCTCTACCTCTGGACTCTGCCTCTCTCCAGCATGCAAGCCCCACCGGATCCACTCCCTGCCAACCAGCGCATTCCTCATGTACCTGCCAAACTGTGTTGAAGTGCAGACCTGACCACTGTACCTACCAGCTTAAGCCTTCCCATGGCTCTCCATCACCACAGCCTCATGTCCCACAGCTGGGATGGCATCTAAGGAGGCCACTTCCACCCCCATACTGGGTCAGGCCCCAGGACTTTCACTGGTCACCTCTATCAAGAGGAATACCTTTCATTCCTTGTCACCCAGCGGACTGCTCCCTGTGGTTTGGCCCTGCCCAGGAAGGCACTCCTACTCACTGTCTAGCCTTTCTTCTCTGCTCCACCACCACGAGCCTGAGGCAGCTCCTCTTCCACCCCTACCCCAGGCATCTAGGAACCTTATAATGCCGCAATATTTTCCCATAGCTATCTGTTTTCATGTCCGTCTCCCCTATTTGCCCATGAGCTCTTTGGGAGAGCTCAACAGCTGCTGGACGAATGAAAGAAATGAAAGAACAGACAAGGTCTCCCATAATCATGGGAACTTCACTCTTGTTCATCCCTATGAAAAGACAGCACTTTCCCCATGGGCAGAGAACACAAGCAGATTAAAACCCAACACACATGCTCTAAAGTATGGCTAAACACACACACTAAAGTAAAAATACATACATCCTAAAATGCACACAATATACCTGCTGAAATATGACCACCAATAATCATAACAATAGCCAGGCACGCGGGTCCAGCCAGGAGTTCCAGCTACTCAGGAGGCAGAGGCAGAACAATTGCCTGAGTCCAGGAGTTTGAGGCTACAGTGAACTATGATCACTCCTGTGAATAGTCACTGCACTCTAGTCTGGGCAACACAGCGAGACCCCATTTCTAAAAAATACATAATAATAAAAATAACAGCTACAACAGCTGCTAATACTTATTATACCAGGCCCTGTGTTATGTGGTCTGAACATATTTTAGCCTCACAAGGTACCAAAATGAGCCCCATTTGATAAACAAAGGAAAACACTCAGAGAGGTCACATAACATGGCTAAGGTCTCAGCTGGTGAGGAACAGAGCCAGGATTTGAATCCCATCTCTTCAGGGTTATCCGGTACAGCCTCTCCCAGTTTTCCTGGGGTCCTTAGGGCTGTGGATACCTTGAATACGAGTTAACTGTGGAATCAACTTTCTCTGTTTAACAACCCCCAGAATCACAAAGTGACTATGAATGACAAGAACAGCTTGTTCCAGACTCTATTTGTCGATGGGTCACTCAAAGCCCCCTTGTTTATGACTAAAGTTCCTACTGGACTCAGAGAATCAGGTTAGTGCTCCAGAGTCACGCCTTATTCTTCCAGCTGAAAGCAGTCCTGTGGGTGTGTGTGCATGTTACAGCTATCGACTCATCTGCATGTGCTATCCGCACCCCAGACCTCCTCCTTCCTTCCCCATCTCAGTTTCTAGGATTGTCACCCACGCAGTTACCCAAGCTAGAGACCTCTAGTCATTTCTGAGTCCCTGCCATTCCCTCATACCCACGCATCCAGTTGTCCCCAAGGTCTGCCTTTCTACTTTCTGAGGGGCTTTAGGCTCGCTGGCCCCTCTGGACACACTCCACTGCCCAGCTCAGATCCACGGTCTCCAGACAGCCACTCAGTGCACCATCTCCCACAGGTGCTCCTGCCCTTTGTCCCTCTGTCTTATCACCTTCTATGTTGCTTTCGGAGTCACTTTTCCTAAAGCAGGACTTAAAGTCATTTTTCCTTAAACAATGACTTTTCTTGAAGCAGAAATCATGTCTGTGTTCTGCTTTAAGAACTTCTCTGGCTCTTCTTCTTGAGGTAAATTTCATGACTCAGCACAGGCTCAGGCCTCTGCATTTCTACCCTGGCCCCATCTCCAGGCAGGGCCCTCGTGCAGCTGCCCTGTAACTCTGGGCTACTGGCCAGCCAGCATGCCCCAGATCCTCTGCCCCTTTCATCCTCTGTGTAGTGCTCAGCACTCATCACCTATCCCTGAACCCAGCACACGCAGGCGCTGTACCAGTCACAGTGGAGGAAAGAAGAGGACACACCCTTGGCGGATGTGTACCATGTGGGTGTGTCCCAATTGTCAGCTCAGCCTCCCAGTCACTCTGACAAGCCAGCCACTGTGAGCCACATTCTACAGGTGAGGAGACTGAGGCCCCCGGAGACCGAGACTGGCCCAACACGGCACAGCCACATGTCCCCAGCAAAGGCGGCTGTGTCACATGTGGCCTGGATCCTGGGGTCCTAGCCACACAGAGCCTGTAGTTCCAAATTCTTCACTGACAGGAATGACTC